TCTCAAGTGCAATTTCTGGGTCACGTTATCTCTGCTGATGGAGTGGCGGTTGATCCTAGCAAGATAGAGGCAGTTGTTGATTGGGAGAGACCCAAGACAGTAACAGAAATAAGAAGCTTTCTGGGTTTGGCTGGTTAATCCGGAGATTCATTAAAGAATTTTCAGCCATGGTGTTGCCATTGACCCGTTTGACCCGGAAGGATACTCCATTTGTTTGGACACAAGAATGTGAATAATGCTTTCAGAGCCTTAAGGAGAAATTGACGACCGCTCCGGTGTTAGTACTTCCCGATCCGGAAGGTGAGTTTGAGTTATATAGCGATGCTTCTAAAAAGGGACTGGGTTGTGTGCTGATGCAAGATAGGCGAGTGGTAGCTTATGCATCGAGGCAATTGAAACCGCATGAAGAAAATTATCCGACCCATGACCTTGAGCTTGCTGCAATTGTTTTTGGATTGAAGCAGTGGAGGCATTTCTTGTATGGAATGCAATTTGCAGTATTCAGCGATCACAAGAGCTTGAAGTACTTGTTTGATCAAAAGGAATTGAATATGAGACAACGACGGTGGACCGAGTTCCTAAAAGACTATGATTTTGAATTGAAATATCATCCTGGCAAGGCTAATGTTGTAGCTGATGCACTGAGCCGTAAATCTGTGAGCATATCAAGCATGATGATTAGAGATTATGATGTAATTGAGAGGTTCAGAGATATTCAATTATCTAAAATCTTTCCATGTAAAATTTGTGGCTTTGAAATCACAAGCATTGAGAATGAACTGATGACCAGAATCAAAGAAGCTCAACTGCAAAATGAAAGCGCTAAACGACTAAAAGGTCAGAGTGGTGTATCCTGCAATGATGAGGGTGTACTACTATATCAGGGTCGTGTTGTAGTACCTGCGCAGTTGGCGGAGGAAGTAATGACAGAGGCTCATAAGGGTCATTTTACAGTTCATCCGGGAGCTACAAAGATGTATCAGGACCTAAAGATTAATTTCTGGTGGCCTGGTATGAAGAAAGATATTGCCGAATTTGTCTCTAAGTGTCTCATTTGTCAGAAGGTCAAGATTGAGCATCAAAAGCCTTCTGGTATGTTGCAACCTCTGGATGTTCCTGAATGGAAATGGGAGAGTATCTCCATGGATTTCGTAGTGGGATTGCCGCGAACACAGGCTAGTTATGATTCTATATGGGTGATTGTGGATAGATTGACAAAATCCGCACACTTTTTGCCAGTTCGGGTAGATTTCTCTGCTGAGAGATTGGCTAGGCTCTATGTGAAGGAGATTGTGAGGCTTCATGGGGTGCCTGAGAGCATTGTTAGTGATCGGGACCCGAAGTTCACTTCTCGCTTCTGGGGAGCATTGCAGGAGGCTCTTGGCACTCAGTTGAGACTGAGCACTGCTTATCACCCACAGACGGATGGTCAGACTGAGAGGACCATTCAGACGTTCGAGGATATGTTGAGGGCTTGCACCCTGGAGCAGGGTACTGCATGGGATCGATATCTCCTGCTGGTTGAGTTTTCATATAATAATAGTTTCCATGCTAGTCTGGGTATGGCTCCGTACGAGGCCTTGTATGGTCGCAGGTGTAGGACACCTACTTGTTGGTCAGAGGTTGGAGACACAGAGCGGTTTGGATTGGATTTTGTTCAGGAGACTACTGAGCAGATCAAAATGATTATGGATCGTCTGAAAAAGGCTCAGGATCGTCAGAAAAGTTACTATGATCTCAAGCATCGACCTCTAGAGTTTGAGGAGGGAGATCATGTGTTCCTGAAGCTGTCACCGATTACGGGTGTGGGACGAGCCCTTGGAGTGAGGAAGCTGAGTCCGAGATTTATTGGACCCTACCAGATTCTTCGTAGGGTGGGACCGGTTGCCTACCAGCTTGCCTTACCTCCGCAATTGGCAAATTTGCATGATGTGTTTCATGTTTCTCAGCTGAGGAGATATGTAGCAGATCCTTCTCATGTGGTTCAACTCGATAATGTTGAGATCCGGGAGAATTTGAAGACTCCTATTGGGCCACTGAAGATACTCGAAAGAGATGAGAAGAAGCTGAGAAATAAATCTATTCCTATGGTGAAAGTCCAGTGGGAAGGAAGGACGCCTGAAGAGTCCACTTGGGAGCGGGAAGACAAGCTTCTCCGGCAGTATCCTGAGTTTAAGGACAGGTACGTTCTTGAATTTGCGGACAAAATCGCTAAAAGGTGGGGTGACTATAATAGCCCTAACCTAATTAATTAGCAAATTGCATGTAATTAAATAATTAAGCATGTATTAGTGAGTAAAATTAAGTATAAGATTTAATTAAATGAATCTGAGTCACTTTGAAGTTAAAAAGTGTACTCAGTGAAAATTAAGGGGTATAAATGGGTGTAGGCAAAAGTACCCAAAATATAAAAATAAAAGTGGAAATATTCCTAGAATAATATTCTAGACTTTTGGGTAAAGTTTGGTAATTATTGGAGTTGAATAGATAGATGAACCGATACCCGTTTTTTAACCACTTAACAAAGTTAAGTGGCATAAAGTAAAAAACAACCAATTCCCCTCCCCATTTTCACGACCCCAGCAGAAAGAAAAGAAGGAGAAAGAAGAAGAAGGAGAAAGAAGGAAGAGGAAAGGGAGAGAGAGAAAGAGAGAGCAAATCTCAACCAAATTCATCCGTTCAAAAGCCTAAACCACTTAGATTCTTCCCCTCTTTCATAATCCTAGCTTTGTTTTGAGTGGGAGTTATTGGGGAGAGAGATATCAACCCTCCAAAATTCGCCCCTTGTGGTGAGAGTTGGGGTTTTAGGGTGATTCTCTCCATTGAAGCTTGGGGAGCGCTCATTGCATCGTTGTGTGGTCATTGGTGGTAAGTTTCCACTACTTTGCACACTAAATCCCTAGATTTTTGCATGAGTTAGGGTTTGTGAATAGTGTATTAGGGTTTTCATAGAAATGTGATTAAATTGGCTATGTTCTAGGAAGTTTGAGACTTAGTAGATGTTATGAAAAATGCTAGAAATGAGCTTAGTAGTCAAATGAGTAGGTTTGGAAAATTGCAAGAATATGACACTTGGTTATGAGTTTTCTTGCATTTTGGAACCATTGTTTGGTTGGTCATTGATTGTATCCTTGTGTTGTCTAGGATTAAGGCAATTGGATCAACCTTAATTGACCAACCTTTGGAGCAAGCAATGGAGATGGATTAGTCCTTGAAATAGGTAAGTTCATCCTTGTGTTGTGGTATGAATAGGATAGCTTGGATTGATGATGATGAGTTATCCTTGAATGCAATATGTTAATTGCATTACCCTTGTATAGGTGTATGTTTGTAAAAGTTGATTGTTGAAACTGTTGGTGAAGAACAAAGGTCGACTGAAGCATTGAGGTAAGCCTTTGGACCTTGGGTGTAATTCCCTTGACTGTTCCACCAAGCCCTGAAAGGGTAGAGGTTGTGATTGTGTATATAAATGCAATAATTTCAGGCTATTGTGTCTTCTTTGGAGGTCTTGAGATAAATAGTCCCGCATTAGTTGCCCATAGAACCACGCGAGCTGGCTTTGCGCTAGACTTTTACTAGTCTCGGGCGAACACTGCAATGCCGGCGTCACCACCCGCGCCGCTCGATTGCAACCGGGAGATATAGTGGAAGGCTCTGATATCATTTGATAAGAACCTTGAGGTGCACCACCCCAAAAGCTAGCTCAAAGGGTGGGAGTGCCCAAGGCCTTATAAACTCCACATTAGTTGCTCAAACAACCAATGTGGGACTATATATCTCAACAGGATGAAACATGATTTCTTGAAAAAGTAAGAAACAAACTGTTATTTCCCGATCTAGTGCAAAGGTCGAGTATCGTGCAATGGGAGTTGCTACCTGCGAGCTAATCTGATTAAAGCAGTTGATTCGGGAGCTCCATCATTGTGAGCAGAAATAGACCATGACACTCATTTGCGACAATCAAGATGCGCTACATATATCCTCTAATCCTGTATTTCATGAGAGAACCAAACATATAGAGATCGATTGTCATTTCATTTGAGAAAAGATTAAGTCAGGAGAAATCAAAATGACATTTGTCAACTCTGATGACCAACTCGCGGATGTCTTCACTAAAGCTCTTAGAGGTCCTCGGGTTGAATACATTTGTAACAAGCTAGGTGCTGACAATATATATGCACTAGCTTGAGGGGGAGTGTTAGAGTAGTTGTTAGAATAGTTCAATGTATATAATAGAATAATCTCACATCTTGTGGGCTTAGCCCATTAGGTCTTTTAGTCTCTTTAAATATAGAGCTCTTGTATGTTGTAACACACTATTATTCAATATACAATTATTCTATTATTCAATCTCAAGTGAAATCTTAATCCATATTTAGTATGTTGATGTAGTATTTGAATATGAAAATGTAGGGTGCTTAATATTTTTGCATATCATATGTATGTTTTTGAATACGTTTTTAATATCTCACGACACACAGAAAAAAAATATTTCAAATTCTCTAACATGCAAGATAATGGCGATAATAGTTCTACATTAAAATGAAGGTATACGAAAAGATCTAAAATTAGAATCTAATCCCACCAACTTACGTACCTCTATTTTAGCATGGGAACCTTGCGTTTGGGAAAAGATATGTTTCATCTTCTCACATTCACTAACCAAAAGGCTTTGAAGGTTTACTAGACTCTTGGCCATGGAAAATGATAATAAATGTTTCAAATTCCAACAATCATTCACATCCAAGTGTATCAAATTTTGAAAATAGAGATTTAGTGAAGGTTGGTCATCCCTGCATATTATGTCGATATGGATTGACGACAACTCCATTCTCTCCAATTTTGAAACTACAATCTACAAAGAAACATATATAATTAGTATCACCAAAAATTAAAGAATTGATTTTGACTTTCTCAAATTAATTTTCACTAGAGAAAATAAAAAAATTTAACTAATAAAATATGGAAAAGTTTAAATTGAAAAAAGGAAAAAAAAAAATCTATGATAGCGTTAAACACACCTTATCATGGAAAAGTTCTTTGGTCTCTCCTGTAGATGAATAGGGCTGGATCGTAATAAATTGAGGTAAAGATTGTAGCGTCAAAGAGCGCAATTCGGGAAACTCAAGACCCTCAATTTTGTTAGCACTTGGTATTTGCACAGGGACAATCTTCTTCAAAGATTTACATTTAGAAATTTCAAGTGTTTCAAGAACAATTAGAAGTCTAACCACTGAAATTGAGAAGACATTCTCCAATTGATTGCAAAGATAGATCTTGATGACTTTCAATTTACCAAATGATGGAGTTGAAAGTTCACATGAGCAAATTTTCTTCATGTTCTTGAGATTATAGAGATACAATGACTCCAGTTTAGGAAAAGCCTTCTCAATATTGTTCTTTCTTTTCTCTGGGTTGATGAGAGATTGAATGTCAGAATTACTTACAATGGACAAATGTTTTAGATATGGAAATCCTTTCAAATTCAATCTATAAAAAATATCTTGGACACCATTGAGATCTTCTAATAACAAATTCTCAACTCTGTCGAACAACAATTTGACACCATTTTGAGAATGAATGTCAAAGCCATTATCTAACTGTACTGCCAAAAATCTTGATGCTTCATATTTCTCTGGCATCTTGAAGTCTGTCTCTAAATATGCCTTCAAATCTCCAATAACAATCTTGTAACTATATAACTTGTCAAAGAACAAGTTATCAGACAAATGGTCAACATTTGAGATTTCTATGTCTAGAGTTGTCAACTGGTTTAGATGCCTTAGCTCAGAAAGACTAGCATTTTCACTTTGACTTATCTCTCCTCCATTGTTCCATTGAATCGGGGTCCTTCTCATATACAACTCTTCCAAACTAATCAAATATTGGATTACATTGGAAGGAATGACTCGAAGTTTAGAGCAATTACTTATGTCAAGAATTTGTAGCTTTATTAACTGCTTCAATTCAGTAGGTAATATTTCAATATTAGATCCTGAAAAACTAAGAACTCTTAACTTTTTCAACTCACCTATGATGGACAAATCCACACCCAGCATGCAATGCTCCAAACAAAGCATTCTGAGTTTTGTAAGGCATGTAATTGATGAAGGTAAGGGTGATAGATAAAAGCCAGTCAATATCAATACCTTGAGTTCTTTCATTCCTTTAAAAAAATGGCTTGGTATTTTCAGATGTGGACCATTGTTGCTCACATGGAATACTCTAAGTCTCGGACAATTTATCCTTAGAGGAAACCCCTCAATGATATCACAATGTTGTAAGGATATAGCAGTGTATCTTTTGAGTTTATCCTCTTCAGGCCATTCATCTACTTTCCCCTTTGTCAGTGTAAATACATGCTCCTCCTTGGATGCTATTGACGAAGCTGCACTGCGAACAATCTCTTGCATGGTGAAATAATCATTTGAATAACTATCAGACAACAAACCAGACTCTTTTAGCTTTCCAACCAAAACATATACTCTATCTCTAGCTTCCCTTACAGTGTAGACTCCTTGTAGAAAACCCAAACCAATGCAGTATTTTATCAAGTCCATAATTAATGCATCAGGACCCATGCGAGCACAAAGTAAGAAAGTAAACTTGAGCTCCTCATTTTCTAAAAGTTCATAACTCAACTTTGTAGAGAACTCAGGCGCTCCTGTTAACTTTTGCCATTCAAGCTTTCGGTTGACATCCTCCCACACCGAGCGGCTCTGATTTTTCAAAGCCCTTGCAGTTGTAACTATTGACATAGGCAACCCTTGACACTTGTTGGCAATTTGAGCTGCTAATTTTTCAAATACAGAATCCGTATCACCTATTCCAGCTTTTTTCTTGAACAGTGCCTGTGCTTCCTTTTCCATCAAGACATCCACAGAGAAAATAGAGTTTTCCCTCCCTTCCATCTGACTTGATAACACTTGTTTGGTTTCAGAAATGAGCAACATTTTCCAACCCTTATAACGACTAAGAGTATCTTCTATTTTCACAACATCGGTGGCATCGAGGATATTTTCAGACTTCATCATATTGAAAGCTTCTTCTGTTTTTGGCTTTTCGGATGAAGTTTCAGTTTTCATTGTATTGTGAGCTCCATGGGGTTTTTCTTCTTTAACGTTCTTCAGGCCACCTTCGTCATCATTCTCAGATGGAATCCCGAGCATATTGAAGTCCAATTTGTCCCAAAGATCATCTAGGATTATAAGTGTGCTCTCTCTCTCATTCTTCAATCTCTTTTGTATTCGAGCAGCTCTTGCAATGTCACTTTCTTCATCCAATTTCATCCCCAACATGTCAGCAATTTGTCCTTGAATCTTTCTTATATCAGCATTTCTTGTTACATTTGCCATGACCACTACATTGAACATCTTATCTTTCAACGCTTCCTGAGCCACTTTTTTGGCTAAACTGGTCTTGCCCACACCACTCAACCCATGAAGTCCGATCATTCTAACATTCGGGTTTTTCAATGCTGCCATAATCTTTTTCTTAATTTCATCTCTTGATGGAAAGCTTTCATAACCAACAATAGAAAAAAAGGCAGCCATGGAGGGTGGGCCAAACCAATAAGAAAGCGTATCATGCTTTGCTGTTTGTGAAAGTCCATTAATCTTCCTTGTAATATCATATGCTTTTGTGCTCAAATGATACCTTATCCCTAACTTGGGAAGGTAACCACTTGTAAACAAATCAAACAATGCAAGTTTACAACGCTCGTCCCCATGAAAATCCTCACATTCAGAGATTATTTTATCCACCCCTTCTATCCATTTTTTAACTTCATCGGTGATTCTTCTTCCATATCGATTTTCTTCCTCCTCAACTCTATGTTGAACTGCAGCCCTCTTCTTCTTGAGATCCTCAACACCAATATCTAGTTCTCGAACTCTGGCTTCGTACTTCCATAGGGGAATCAACATTTGTTGCTTTAGCCTCTCCTTCATACGAGGTGACATCATGAATTGACAAAACCAAGCAATTAGAGGATCCATCTTTCATCGTTGACTTTTCTTAACTCTATATATGTATATATATCTTCTCCTGCATGCACATGAATAAGAAAACAATATTAATAACGATAAATGAAAATTAATAAATTTAAAATAATAGATAAGATGAGCTTATCGTTCCACTGTGCTTTATCCATGACAGAAAGCAATAAGAAGAAGGAAAATAAGATATTACCGTTTAGATTAGAGCAGATTCACAAATCGCCACATGCTCGAAATCAACTTGAATTTTCGTGGACTTCCTTTGACTTGTGAAACAAAACTGTAATATATATAGTGAGAGTGCAATAAGTTGCATAAGCTTTTATATTATAATATATTATTTATCACCAAATAAGTTATAATATTGTAAACAATATCTTATTCTTTTTATATATGCAGTCATATCATATCTCTTCATTACAAAAGTGATTATTTGAAAGAATGATCTCTTTCAAAAAAATTAAAATGGTGCAAATTGTTGTAAAATATTACAAAATATGTGTGGATAACTTTTGGCTATTCATATGCCTCATGATGATGACCTCTAGTTTTCCAAGATCTTTGATATACAATGTAATCATCACACTAATAATGTATTGAAATATAATGCCTCTCTTTTCATATTTAGGGTCAGAATATGGCTTCTATGAAAAATAATCTATGACACTGATAGTATGTTTTCGAATCGTGGAGTATTCCTGGCCTGGTCAGGTCATATATACGCCACTTTGGCATGCAACAGCCCATCCATAGATAGCCAAGAAGCTTAGAGGTACACGACCTTACCCCTCGGGTTAATATTCTAATGCAGATCATCGATCGTTGTGCTACATCTAATATGCATGACTCTTTTCTCACCTTCAAACATCATCCCACTATTATCTTCAAATTTTCTACCATTATAGTAGAGAATAACATGAAATGATTGCGAACTTTCTAACTTTCTTAAACTTTTATATTTTTGCATAAAAGTAATCAAGCTTTTTCATAGAAATTAGTTGCCTCGCATTAAATATATCTATAAGACTATAACAGTTTTAAGGTATGTTTATATATAATTAATTGTAATTGATGAAAAAAATGAGTGTATAAAAGTAAGAAAGCCTAAAACTAAATTAAAATGTTTTTCATAATTTAATGACTTATCAAAACTCTAAAATAGGCCAATATAATAGTAAATACGGGTGTAAATGTGTTAAGCGGCAAATTAATAGCGTAGATCAAATTAGGTCTGGCCTAGCTACTATATCTAATAAAACAGAACCTTAAAAAAACCTATTTAGAAAACAAGCTATAAGCCTTCTTTTACAAGATCTGACCTATAAACCTATGGGTCGCCTTATATAATACTATTTATTTTAACTAAAATTACTATTTAAATAATTTAAAATAATAAAATATTATTTTAGTTATTTTTTAATTCTTGAAGCACTAATAGACTTAAATACGCTATCAGACCTAGGTCAAGCCTTTTGATTTTTACATATAAGTCATGTGTGGCCTATTATTTAGACTTTTTCCTATTTTTAATAAACTATTTCTTACAATAAATAGTAAAGTAATGTAGTATTTAAATTAACAGACAGGTTATTATATTTTACAAAGCTACAAATATTTCATTAGTGGAAAGAGAATTTTCTTTTGTGCGGTTTTCTTTTATTGGTAAGACCATGACTACTCTTAGTTCAAGCGTAGGCATACTGTGTATTGGCATTTGTCTTAGGTAAAATTCAAACCTTCGCAAAGCTAGAAAGTTCACCTACACGATTCAAGCCATTGTTGAAGGAGATAACTTGATCCTAGGGTTCTTGAGACTCACTTAATGAAGAGTGTAAGATTTTGGTTGAATAAAGACAGGAGGGTTTGCGTTCAGCACACCCTCAAAGAAGCCAACTCCTGTGCCAATTGGCTTGCTCAAGTGGCTATCTCCCAATATGTTGGTTTCAAGCAGAATACCATTGCTCCTCATGATTTAGAGAGGCTCATTGCCTTAAACCGGTTAGGAGTTCAAAGTGCTTCTGATTAAGATCTTTGCTTGCGTTTTAGTTTTTAGTTTTGTTTTCATTTGTATTTTGTCTCTATTTTTCTGAGGCCTATGCCTTCATAATATAATAAGTAAGAAACCAACATATTGGGAGCTAATTCGCAAAAATGAGTAGAGCCCCACTCAAATAAGTAAGAAAAGAACCTCGGAAGCTAATTCGCAAAAAATAAAAATAGACAGAAATTAAAACTAAAATAGATAGATATAGAAGTTTGAATAGAAAGCCTGACCCTTTCTTTGTTGAAAACAAGAAACAAGACGAAAGAGAAAGATCAAACCTAAAATTACAATTCCAAAAAGAACAATTCTACCAGGGCTCATTGTAGCGGTTCCTTCAGATCCTAGAATCTGCTTCACTAAGAAATTTGTGGATAGGAAAACAGTTGCTCGAAGAATAAAATTCATGATGAAAATCATAGAGATTAACCCTCACCAATAAACTTCACCTACATAAGAACTCAATTTATCAATTGAGTCACACATCATAGAGTTTTTGGAGGGAAAATGGTGAGTCATCATACAATGATAAGGGAGAGTTATAGCCACAGGCTAAAAGATACTAAAACCTGAGTTATGTCTCGATTTGTGCAACTAGAAATGAAATAACAAAGACATGTAAATAGAAAACATAATATTCTAGATAACATTTCCTAATACCATGGAACTTTTCAAGCAAAAGACTGAGTTATCCTCACCTTGTACTGGTGGACTGTGTTTTTTCTTCTCCAAGCTTTTCACTCTTCAATCAAGTCGCCTTAGTTCATAAGCTCTTCCACTCTTCAATCAATATCTCAGTCTGCATAAATTCTTCTTAGTATTAATATGAAGAGGACTATATTTGCTTTTAAAACTACCTAGCTGATCTTACAAAGATAGATAGATGTACAAAACATTTTTGACATATATACATAGGAAAAAATATTAGTCAATTTGAATGACATTACTTTGTATTATTTTAAGTGAAACGATCATATTTTAATGCATATTTATAGGCCTTTTACATTCTCTCCTCCACAATACTTGCTTTTCTCAATCCTCTTAATTTTGTGGGGGAGAAAGAATGTAAAAGGCCAATAAATATGTATAAAAAATACAGTCATTTCACTTAAAATGACATAAAGTTGTATCCTTTAAAATGAGAAACATTTTCCCCATGTATATAACATTTAGGGCCCAATTGCATGGTATGAATAACAACACAAAATAATGGATTTACTATTACCTCTACTTTGCTTGATGAGCTGATGTTCTAAGCTTCCTTTCGGTCAGTGATGGTTGAGACGAATAAGATTCTTCAATAAGTTGAAGTTTCTTGTCCACTGAACAAAACAAAACAAAAAAGAATAAGTGATTATATAAAAAACCATTTACTTGCTTCAAAACCACTCTCAGTAAAATGCTTCAAAAAGAATAAGTGATTATATAAAAAACCATTTATTTGATTTATGTGATAATATATAATTATATATATATATATATATTAGATGATAAATTATGATTAATTGATTGATGATTTATGTATTTATGTTTGATTAGTAATGATTGATTAGTAATTTGTTTAGATATCATGAGTCTACAAACATAAATTGTTTAGATATGATGAGTCAACAAACATAAATTGTTTAGATATGATGAGTCAGTAATGTGTAAGCCCTAAACTTCAACTATAAATAGAGGTCTAGCCTAACCAAACCAATTCACTCTTCAACATTTCTCTTCTACTATTCTCTCTTCTTAGTTCAAAAACTTAGTTTAATTTATTTTATATTCTTCTGGTTACCAACCGGTTCTCTGCTCCAAATTACTCTTTTCTTCTAGAAGTTAGCGAAAACGGAGACCAGGTAATCCTAATCCTTAGGTTATAATTTTGTTTGAAGTTTATAGTAATCTTAATCCCTATGTCTTATTAGGATATTTTATGAAATTTTGTGTATCTAATCCTAATCCCTAGAGAGTCATAGATTATATTGATATGAATTTTGGTATATGTAATCCTATTCGTAGGTTATTTCTTTTCTTGGATGTAATCCTAATCTCTAGGTGGTTGTAGATTTGTTGTGTATGAAATTTTATTGGGTGTGTCCTAATCTTTAGGTAGTTATATGTTCGATATATGTAATCTTAATCCCTAGAGAGTTATAGGTTATATTTATATGTAATTTGGTATATGTAATCCTAGTCCCTAGAAATAGGTTAATTATATGAATATTATTGGGTTTAATTTTAATTTTAATTTTGATTAATTATATTGTTGGGAATTTTAATCCTCTAGAAAATATCAGAATTAATTGTGTAATTATTTATATTTGAATAATGGATTTGGAAGTTTTGATATTCTTGGATAAATGATTTGGAAATTATAATGGATTTGGAAATTAAAATATTATTGAAAGATTGAATTTTGAAATTATACTCTTGATTAAATTGATGTGGATATCATGAAAACTATTTGACAATTATGAGAATCGTGACAAGATTGAATTAATTGTATGTGATTGAATAAATTAATAGTGGGAGGATAGCTTTGGGATGGTACCTCCCAAGGTGATGAACACAACTTTTGGGCTTTATGCCTCCGATGTGAAACTGATGTGAAAAAAGATTATATCCGTTCTTCCCAAAGTGGTGTCTGGCAGGGTTCCCCGAGATACTAGTAGCAACTTTGGGAAGAGGTGTGCACACTAGGAAGATGTGAATTGATTATGGCCAATGTGATTTGTTTGTGACTGGCAAGGTTTCCCGGGTCACAGGGTAGACTGGCAGGGTTTCCCGGGTCTACCATGGTTCTCTTCCCACTAAATATAATGGACTTAAACATTATTAATGAAATTTGTTATTTGATTTGATTATGAAGAATGTCATTGAGTTGTAAATATTATCATATTATGATTAATGTTGTGCTAAATATGTTAGTTGATAATTACCAAATACATTTAATGAACTTAATAAAGATAAATATTATATAATGGAATTTTGATTATTATATTGATATTTGATTTGATTAATGTGGAATTGATTTGAACACTATTTGATATTTGATTTAATTTGTTATTAATTACATTAATTGTATTTTGATTGGGATTACCAGCTTTGCTGACTTTTGTGTTTGTTGACTGCAATGATCCTGCGGCTGCGGGGGAGCAGATTTTCAGTGAAGCATGTTGCAAAGGATGGGGCTAGCTGTGGGCAGTGAGGATCACGACTCGAATATTTCTAGCTGTCATAAATATTATGTATAAAAAAAAAAAAACTGTAGTCTTAGATTTTTTTTATTTGAATGTAATAGAGTTAGCCTTGCACTTGTCCCTGTACAAGTGCGGCGGTAACACTTCCCAAATTCGATTATTTTGAACTTCCGCTGTTATTTATAAAATTATTGAATTTATTTATGCTATTATAAATTGTTAGAATTTGGGGTGTTACAAATTTTGTTAAAGCATCCTCTGTGGCCAACATAGATTCTTCGAACAAGCAAGTAAACCCAACAGGTAACAATTCCTATCAATGGATTTTAGATAGTGGTGCTACTGACCATATCAGTTCCATTCGATCTTATTTCAAAAATTTATCAAAAATCCATCCAATTTCCATATCATTACCAAATGGATCACATGTACATGCTCATTATTCTGGTACCATTTTTTTATCCCCTCAACTCATACTCAAAGAAGTCCTCTTTGTTCCTGAATTCCAAGTCAATTTGATTTCAATTACAAAGTTAGTCAAAACCATTTCTTGTTCACTAACCTTTACTGATAATTGTTGTTTGATATACCAGAATGTTACCAAGATGATATTGTTATAGCTAAGCAAAGTGGTGGATTGTTCATCCTTGACATACCAGCCCAAGCCTTAAATACAAAAGTTTCTGATACTTCTAAAGTCTCTGATGATGCAATGCTTTGGCACATGCGACTTGGCCATACTTCCCATTCTAGCATGAAACTTGTATCTTCCCTTTTTCCTTTTATTTCATTTACAGATGTATCCCCTTGTGACATTTGTCACTTGGCAAAACAAAGAAAATTACCTCATTTTTCCAGTGAGAATAAAACCAGTGCAATTTTCCAAATATTACATGCAGATATTTGGGGACCCTATTCAAATACCTCTGTACATGGCCATCGATACTTTTTAACTCTTGTTGATGATTACTCTAGATTTACCTGGATCATTCTTATGAAACACAAACATGAGACACGAAAACATCTGCAAAATTTCATTGCTCATATTGAGAATCATTTCCATGCTTCTCTTAAAACCATAAGGTCAGATAATGGACCTGAATTCATGATGAATGAATTTTATTCAAACAAAGGCATATCTCATCAAAGAACATGCATTGAATCTCCACAACAAAATGGAGTAGTTGAAAGGAAACACGTTATATACTAAATGTAGCCCGTGCCATTCTTTTTCAATCCAATTTACCTATTCATTTATGGTCTTATGCCATTACTCATGCCATACACATAATCAACCGATTACCCACACCAATTCTGAAAAATAAAACACCATATCTGTTTGATAAACCACCGTTACTCATCCATCTCAAAACCTTTGGATGCTTATGTTATGCATCAACCATCACAGCTCATAGAACAAAATTTCAGCCTAGAGTCCGTAAGTCCATTTTTTTGGGATACAGGGAAGGAACTAAAGGTTATATACTATATGACTTAATCTCAAGAGAAATATTCATGTATAGAAATGTAGTTTTCTATGAACTTATTTTTCCTCTCAATGCAGAAACTGAAATGGCTACCAAACAGATTCAAACCAAAAATCAAACTGATCCTGCTACCATATTACCCTTTGATGATATTTTTCAAAATAACTCATCTGTACCCATCCATAACTCCACCCTACATACATCACATGCAGAAACTGAAGCTGATAACATTAGAAAATCAAACAGAACCCGTAAACCTCCTCCATCACCTACTACTGTAGCTGTCACTATATCAGGTAATTCTCAAACTCCATTATATCCTCTTTCTTCTGTCCTATCATATAATGCATGTTCATCCCATTATACCCGTTTCTGTTTAAATACTTCTTCAAATATGGAGCCAAAAACATACAACCAAGCTGTCAAACATGAGCATTGGCAGAAGGCAATGCAATCTGAATTACAAGCTCTTGACATGAACAATACATGGAAGATTGTTGACCTACCTTAAGGAAAGAAGCCCATAGGATGCAAGTGGGTATATAAAATAAAGTATCATGTTGATGGGACAATTGAACGATACAAAGCAAGGCTTGTTGCCAAAGGCTATACTCAATTAGAAGGGATTGACTATTTTGATACCTTTAGCTCACTACCATTCGAATTCTTCTCACTATAGCAGCCACAAACAAATGGTTTTTGTAGCAACTTGATGTGAACAATGCTTTCCTTCATGGTGAGTTAAAGGAAGAAGTTTTTATGGAGATTCATTCTGGTCTTCCATGTTCCAAACCCAATCAAGTATGTCAGCTACAAAAATCCCTCTATGGACTCAAGCAAGCTAGTAGACAGTGGAAATAATGTTATTAAACCCGGACCGGTGATCGACCCGGTCGGGATATCGGGTCAGTGGGTGTCACTGGTTCAACCGCATGAACTGGATATGTATATAAATTTATATTTTATACTTAATTATATAATAAATATTTTAAACGGTGCAAGTGAACCAAGAATCAAATGTAGCTTAGTGGTAAATACTACAATTTATATCTTCACAACAAGGGTTCGATTCCCACTAAATGCAATTTTTAAATAATTCTATTAAATGGTATGATATATATATTAAATGGTGCATATTAACCAACAAACAAACTTAGCTCAGTGGTAAGTTGTTGTTGGGCATACTCATGAGACTCGAGTTCAAATCCCAGCGGCAGCAACTTTGGAATTATTTTTTCCAAAACCAGTTTGAGTAATAAAACCGGTCCATCGGTTTGACGGTTAATACCGGTTGAACCGCGGTTCACGATCGGTTCACCGGGTCAATACCGGTTCAATAACATTCGGTCCGTTGCAAGAATTGGACCGGTTGATGGGCCGGTTTCCGGTCCGACCGGCTGGGCCGGTTTTCTCAACACTAAGTGGAATGCTAAGCTTACTTCAGCTTTGATTTCTATTGGATACAAGCAATCCAATGCAGATTATTCATTATTCACAAAGCATAATTCATCTTCATTCACCGCCCTTTTGGTGTATGTTGATGACATTGTGCTGGCTGGAAATAATATGCAGGAAATCAATTATGTGAAATCATTCCTTGATCAACAGTTCAAAATCAAAGACCTTGGTTACTTAAGATTCTTTCTTGGACTTGAGATATCCAGATCCAAAGAAGGAATTATACTGAATCAAAGAAAATACGCATTAGAAATATTATCAGACGCGGGCTTGCTTGCTTCTAAACCAGCTTCCACTCCCATGGATGCAACTTCAAAGCTCAGCTCTGATACTGGTACTCCTCTAGCTGATGAAGCTTCATATCGTCGGTTAGTAGGACGCCTTCTATACTTAACAACAACCAGACCTGATCTTGCTTATTCAGTACAACAACTCAGCCAATATGTCTCAAAACCAACTGAAGTTCATATGGCTGCTGCTCTTCGTGTTTTGAGATATATAAAAGGATCACCAGGTACTGGTTTGTTCTTCTCCTCAACTTCTGCTCTTTCTCTTTCTGGGTTTGCTGATTCCGATTGGGCATGTTGCCCGGACACACGTAAGTCCATCAGTGGATACTGTGTATTCCTAGGATCTTCTCTTGTATCTTGGAAATCAAAGAAGCAAACAACAGTGTCTAGATCATCTGCAGAAGCTGAATATAGAGCCCTTGCAAGTCTTACTTGTGAAGTTCAATGGATACACTATCTGTTAGCCGATCTGTGTATTCCCACATCTAAGGCTGCTGCAATATATTGTGATAATGTTTCTGCTATCTACCTTGCACACAACCCATCGTTTCATGAGCGCACAAAGCACTTTGAAATTGATTGCCATGTTATACGTGAAAGGAGTCAATCGGGTTTAATCCATCTGCTTCATGTTTCATCTGCAAACCAGTTAGCTGATATATTTACAAAACCACTTCATGTCAAACCTTTTTCGTCATTTCTGGTCAAGCTTGGTCTAAGGAATATCCACCGACCAGCTTGTGGGGGGGTATTACCATCTGATGCAGAAACTGAAGATCAAACTCACGTGAAATAGCTGACAGTTATGTTAGTTATTATAGCTGACAGTTTAGTTATTATAGCTGACAGTTATGTTAGTTATTAACCATTAGCTGTTAGTTACTGTTAGTTAGTTAGTTACTGTACTCTTATTCTTTCACTTACTGTATTCTATATAAAGTCAGTCATGTAAAACTTCTTCTTCAATAAGAAATATATGAATTTTTTACTCTCAAGATGAGAATATCAGAAGTTAAGACCCTCAAAGAAGCCAACTCCTGTGCCAATTGGCTTGCTCAAGTGGCTATCTCCCAATATGTTGGTTTCAAGCAGAATACCATTGCTCCTCATGATTTAAAGAGGCTCATTGCCTTAAACCGGTTAGGAGTTCAAAGTGCTTCTGATTAAGATCTTTGCTTGCGTTTTAGTTTTTAGTTTTGTTTTCATTTGTATTTTGTCTCTATTTTTCTGAGGCCTATGCCCTCATAATATAATAAAGTTCACCTAGATAAGAACTCAATTTATCAATTGAGTCACACGTCATAGAGTTTTTGGAGGGAAAATGGTGAGTCATCAAACAATGATAAGGGAGAGTTCTAGCCACAGGATAAAAGATCCTAAAACCTGAGCTATGTCTCGATTTGTGCAACTAGAAATGAAATAACAAAGACATGTAAATAGAAAACATAATATTCTAGGTAACATTTCCTAATACCATGGAACTTTTCAAGCAAAAGGCTGAGTTATCCTCACCTTGTATTGGTGGACTTTGTGTTTTTTCTTCTCCAAGCTTTTCACTCTTCAACCAAGTCGCCTTAGCTCATAAGCTCTTCCACTCTTCAATCAATATCTCAGTCTACATAAATTCTTCTTAGTATTAATATGAAGAGGACTATATTTGCTTTTAAAACTACCTAGCTGATCTTACAAAGATAGATAGATGTACAAAACATTTTTGACATATATACATAGGAAAAAATATTAGTCATTTTGAATGACATTACTTTGTATTATTTTAAGTGAAACGATCATATTTTAATGCATATTTATAGGCCTTTTACATTCTCTCCTCCACAATACTTGCTTTTCTCAATCCTCTTAATTTTGTGGGGGAGAAAGAATGTAAAAGGCCAATAAATATGTATAAAAAATACAGTCATTTCACTTAAAATGACATAAAGTTGTATCCTTTAAAATGAGAAACATTTTCCCCATGTATATAACATTTAGGGCCCAATTGCATGGTATGAATAACAACACAAAATAATGGATTTACTATTACCTCTACTTTGCTTGATGAGCTGATGTTCTAAGCTTCCTTTCGGTCAGTGATGGTTGAGACGAATAAGATTCTTCAATAAGTTGAAGTTTCTTGTCCACTGAACAAAACAAAACAAAAAAAGAATAAGTGATTATATAAAAAACCATTTACTTGCTACAAAACCACTCTCAGTAAAATGCTTCAAAATTGAATGCAGAATGCTTAATGCTAGATAATACCATATCTAAATGCATGAAGGGGGTAAGGTCAACTCACTCAAATGCTGAGTCACAACCACAATCAACGATTTTCAGTAACAACACACCATGATTAGACCTCACCCCCTCTATACATTTCTAGATAAACTTCCCCCAAAAATACGATTTAGTTCAAGGAAACTCACAGCTAAAATGAAACAAAACCCACCCCCAAAAGTTCAAATACATTTAGAAACCCAACATCCCAAATTTGCCCAAGTTCCTTGCGAATAAGAAATGAAATTGACATGGATATAGGTTGTACTCACATGTCGGTTTTGACCTATCTCTTCTTAACATTCAACCCATGGCCTCAAATACATGGTTTAGTTCACTCAAGATGACGATTTAGCTAGTGAGAAATTGAACAACAATGAACATTCGAAAAGAGAGGGAAATAAGCTAAAAGGTGCAGAAATGAGTGAAATACAATTTTAGAACTATTACTTTGGTCTTCAACGTTTGTCTGAAAATTTAGTTTTCATCGACGGGCTTAAAAGTCTATCGAAATCTTCCATAGGCTTAGGTCCATTTGTACATCAGGCCCAATTTACGGACAGACTTTTTTACGGCCCAGTATTAACAGAAATAAACCCGTCTAATAAATCATCAAAACCCAATTAACAAATAACAGTCGGTTATATTTCTCTTATGTCAAATCAACAGTATCTTTAACTCAAGTTATATCTCTTATGTTAAATAAGAGAAATAAATTTCCTACACATATAAAATAGGGGTAAGTCTCACACTCTCACTCATTGTTGTGAAAATCGGACCGCACCGGCTGGGTCGACCCGGAACCGGATGAATCGGTCATCTGACCGGTCCAGTTATTACATTGGATCGGTCAAGTATCAGACTTGGTACGACCCGGTGCAATCCGACCTGTTTTGGTGAAAAACTGATGACCCGACCCGGGTTATTTAAAAAAAAAAAAATTTCAAAAATAAAAAAAGTTTTCCAAAAAAAAATCATAATTGACATATTTGAGTGATCTGTTACTTATTGACTTACATAAGTTATGTACCTACAATCTTAATATTATCTCAATTATGCACTATGCAGAGAATTTTGATCTGATAATTAGATATGTCGTTTACCGAACCTGGAACACCAATATAACAAGCATTATGTGTTTGTTTGATCTTTTATTGGACAATAATGTATAATTTATTATTTTTTATATTAAAATATTTAGAATTTATATTATTTTTTCAGCTATTTAAGTTTATTTATAATTTTTTTAATATAAATTATAGATTTATATATAATCACCGGATTATGCAGTTCAACCAGTGACCCACTGGTTGAACCAGTGACCCCCACTACCTCGACCGCGTCATTGACCGGACCGATTTTAATAACATTGCTCTCACTTCTATTTTTACTCTTTCCTCCTAATTATGAGTCTCACTTGTAATTTTATTTCTATTACATAAAATAATTTTTTTCCTACAACATAAGAAAATTATTTGCCATGTGTTAAATAAAAATAACATTTCGACCAAATTCCGGAGGAATAGATCTCCCACTGAATATTTCGTCAAAAAGGGTAGTCGATATTCTTTTGATTAGGAGTCTATTTATTTTTCCCTCTCAATTTTGTATAGCCATTTTTGGATCGAAAAACTCCATCGTTGATTGATGCTTTTCTAGTAGTGGGCGTAGTTTAGTGTCAATTGTGCAGTTATATCCTCATAAGTTACGTGGTCAACATGTTCTATTAATGGGCTATAAAAAGATTAAGGTGGTGTTTGGTCGGGAGCTTTTTAGCGGATATCTATCTTTCTCAAGTATGGCTTTTAGAAATACCATGTTTGTTTCAACGTTTTTCACCAAAAACTCATCTATTCAATTTGTCTGGATTTATAAGAAACATAGATATCCGCACTGTTTAGAAACCCAATTTGAAGGTGGGATTTTTCGGAAAACCGGTTATCTAGCTTTTAATGCACTGTTGATTTCATAAAGTTACCTAATTTTCCCAGTAAAGTTTTTCCCCACCAAACAACTTTTTTTTACATTTTTCTACCTATCTCACTTTATCTATCTTTTCAATCATTTTTCTATCTATCTCATTTCCCTACTATTCCAAAAAAATTTCCTGAACCAAACGCCCTATAAGAGGACAAATAAAAAAAAAATATTCTCTTTCATTTCTTTTTCAATTTTACAATGTAAAGTATATTATTTACTTATTTATATATTTATTTATAAAATATTAGTTTCTTTATATCAAATTAGAAATTAAGTCGCACCACTTAAAACAAATTTGAATTCAATTATGCAGATTTAAATTTCATTTATTAAAACTGTAAAACATAAAACGTTTAATAACATAATGATATCTCGTATTTTATAATTTCATAAAAAATTGCATTTAAATGTTTTAAGAAAGTACAGAAATATGATAACCTAATATATTTTTATGTACAAATATATAGAAAAGTATGAAAGGATTGAATGATATGTTTTGTATTGCTTTGTGGCAGATAGCCAATTATATATACAAATGACAACAAACTGAAACAAACGATAACAAACTATCGTAACAATACTAAACAAACTATCGTAACAATACTATATGGAGAACAAACAAACTATCTTAACCAAACTATACAGATACAAGATATTAACAAACTCTTCCTAAAGACTTGGTCTTCATTAGTTGAAGAATAAGATCAAAGGTGATCTTATCCTAACACTCCCCCTCAAGTTGGAGCATGTAATGAAGAAATGCCCAACTTGCTGCGAATAAAACCGAATTGCTTCATGCCAAGGGCTTTGGTAAAAATGTCTGCAATCTGCTGATCTGAATGAACATAAGAAGTAGCGATTGTATTTCGTAAAACATGATCTCGCACAAAATGACAATCGATTTCTATATGCTTGGTGCGTTCGTGGAACACTGGATTAGCAGCTATTTGCATAGCAGATTGGTTATCACAATGTAAAAGCATTGGCTGTGAATGGGGAACATCAAGAGAGTTTAAGAACGATTTGATCCATAATAACTCAGTTGTGGCTGCTACCATTGCACGATATTCGGCCTCTGCAGAGGAGAGTGACACTGTAGGCTGTTTCTTTGTTTTCCAAGAGATAGGGGAAGTGCCTAACATAATAAAATAGCCTGTGACTGATCGCCTGGTAAGTGGACAGCTAGCCCAATCGGAATCAGAATAAGCTCGAAGAAGAAGGTCATTTTCTGATTGAAGCAGTAATCCTTGACCGGGGTTAGCTTTCATGTATCGCAAAATACGTAAGACAACTTCATATTGAGCTTCGGTGGGATTCTGCATGAATTGCGATAAAACATGGACGGAGTAGCTTAACTCGGGTCTGGTAATAGTCAGATAAACTAGACGTCCTATGAGCCTTCTGTACCGTGCTGGATCCGAGAAAGTGGGACTTTCTGTAATAGCAAGTTTATGATTTGTTTCAAGAGGAAAGTCATAAGGTTTGCATGCAAGGAGGCCAGCATCTTCCAATATGTCGAGAGCATATTTTCGTTGGCTTAGA